AGGAAAGGAAAGTATGCTGTCATATAACTGAATGGTTCTCCAAATTAGGACTTGGTGCTGGTGCCCTTGAAGTACGGAATATTTGAGTTGATGTGACTAGAATAGTGGAGAGAAATTATGTATCAACATTAATTCATTTTAGCATATAATAGAGACCTTACATTCAAAATGTTCTGCTATACACTGCTTTTTTACCTTGGTCTGCTAGTTCAAAAAATATTAAAATCTTATTTTTTTTCAGTGTTTTGAAAAATTGTGCCTTTCTATTATGATAGCTTGAAAAGCTCATTTAGAAACTTCTGTGCTTTTAGTATTTCTCATCCTAATAGTTCAAGGGCAGAATAAAGAATTAAAATAATGGGTACAAGACAAAGGCATTCAAGTGCAAGATGTAGAGGTTTTAATTAAAGGATGATGAAAAAGTGACTAGTCCTCCAAATCTTTAATAAAGCTAGTTAATTCTCCACTAATGCTGTAGGAATTATGCTCTAGTGAGCTGCGACATTTTATTCATAAGCAGCAACATTATGTGCTTTTAATTAACAGTTGTACTTTGATTTGTCAGCCACTTTTGAAAGAAAAGTGATACAAATAATACATGGCATTGTTTCACAGTCATCTTCAAAAAACTTTTGAGACTCATCTGGATAGAGCATTATTTGTTAAGTACTGCCTGGATCAAATCAACAAGCATCATCTCTTTTCTCCAGTGAACTGTCCAAAGTAAAACAAGGGAAGATTAAGAGAACACCAAACAATTTAAGAAAGTAGAAATATGCTTTATTTAGCAATCCACTGAATAGGAGAACATAGTTGAGAGCCATGTATCTGATAGATTAATATCCTTAGTAGCTATATCCTATAGTTAAAGAACAACAATAAGAATGCCTGATTAAAAAACTAAAGTGAAGAAAGACTTGAATAGATGTTTTCTGAAAATGATAGACAAAGACCAGGAAGCACAAGGAAAGAGCTCAGTATCACTAATGATCAGGGTTGTGCAAATCAAGATAACAATGAGATGACACTTTATACTTGGTATAATGACTTTTATTTAAAGTGAGCACTAGTTCCTTACATATTATTAGTAGAAATATAAAATGATAGAGTTTCTATAGAAAACAGTACAGTGATTCCTCAGAAAAGTAAAATAGAATTGCATTATGCTACAGAAATTCCACTTCTGAGTATATACTCCAAAGAATTGAAAGCAGAATCTCAAAGAAATATCTGTAACCTGTATTATTAGTAACATTGTTAACAGTAGCCAAATGGTAGGAGCAACTCAGGGGTCCATCCGTGGATGGGTGAGTGAAGTAAATGTGGCCGACCCATGCAGTCTAGTATCATTGAGCCTGAACAGGAAGACAGTTTTGATATATGCCTCAATATGGATGAACCTAGAGCCTACTATGCTTAAAAAAATAAATCAAATAAAAAGACAGGTAGTATGAGTATATTTATACAAGTTAATTAGAGCAGTCAAATTCGTGAAAACAAGACGATTGATAATAGTCAGAGGCTGAGAACTAAGGGGAATAGGGGATTATTATTTAATGGATGTAGAATTTCAGTTTTGCAGAATGAAAAGGGTTCTGTCAGTGCTACATAATTTAATTTAACATTAAATGTGAGGGATAATTGATTAAATAAAGGCCTAATGAACAAGTCAACTTTTAGATTTATTTATTTATATCATTTGTCAACACTTTCCAAGTGCCTGTATTATCCTAGACACTGAAGATACCAGGTAAAAAACAAAAAGTTATTGCTTATGTTGCCAAAAAAACTGATGAGTGTGGAACCAGATAATGAAAACACCAAGTAGTATGTGTAAAATGGAACTTTAAGTGATAATGTTATGGAAAAAAAAACTGAAGGAGCAGGGTAAATAGAGAGTAATGGAACCAGTCTTTTGAATATGGCTATTAGGAAAGAACTCTATGAAAAATATCATATTTAAACAGAAACCTGAATGAAAAGAGTGATGTATTCACATAGATAACTTGAGGAAGAGTTTTTAGATGGAAGAACCAGTATCTAAGGGTCCAGCAGCTAGAATGTGCTTGGTACATGTTTGTGTGACAGCAGTGTGGAGGGCAGGAAGCTGAGCAAAGGGTAAAGGAGAGAGCCTTACAGAGAGGCATGAATTGGTTGGGGCAGTGATGGGGTGCTTTTCTTGTGCCTGGGATTGGGTGGAGATGTGAAAGAGGTCCACATGCAAATAATATAATGACTTTATATGAATATAAAGATTTGATCTCAATGCAGAGGTGAATAGTGGAAATTGTTATCTACCAAGATGACGAATCCAGAGTGGAATACGTCTTGGGTGGGGAACAAAAGCTTGGGCCCTTTTGACTCAAAAAGGATAGTAGACAAATGCCGTTAATGAAAGCAGGAAAATGTGGGGGCCTGGGAATTAGTGAGTTTGAAATACCTCTCTGAAAATCACGGGTAAGTGTTGTGCTTTTATATGTTATTATAAGCAATTAGTTGGTGTGAGGGCTTGAAATTAACTGAAGGGAACTGAAGCCTCAAATGATGCCAGGAAGGCAGTTGGGTAGCACAAATAGTTTCCTGATACTTGTTCTATGACAGTGGAAGATGGAAAGTGAGAGAGAGCTTCCATATATACATCTGAAGAAAGAAAGAGCAAATTATTTGGTGAGGTTCATGTTAAGTGAAGAAGAGAATGGGCTAAATACATTAAGAGACATGTCTTCTTGCTGATTTGCTGGCCTATGTTAGATGTCCCGCATATAAGTTATTTGCTGAGGAGAAATCTGTTGATTGAGTGGCTATGTTTTCTATGTTGATTTTGTTAGGTTATGGTGTGTGTTGATGGGCCATGGTTAGAATTCCCTTCTTTAGAAGTGAAATGATATGTAGAGATTGGGTTGTTCTATTATCTCCTAGATAATAGCTCTACATTTGTCCAAAGACACTGCTTCCTCAAAAGATTGACTCCTTTAAAGGATTTTGCTAGGGAGTGGGGAGATGGTTCAGTAGAATAAGCACTTGCCTGGCAAGCACAAGGGCCTGGGTTCAATCACTGGTTCTGTCAAAAAGAAAAAAAAAAAAAATAAAAAAAGATTTTTGCTTGATGATAGTTTAGCTGCTAAAAGGGAGGTTCAAAAGTCTTTGACCAAAAATAAATAAATAA